CACAACTCTCTAACTTTCACAAATACACCCTTTAAGCGAATATTTCCTACTGCCATGTCACCTCTGCTCACCACGTCTTACCGGGAAGCAGAAGCCCCAGTATTTTGCTTGCACAAAATTCCACCTTATTTCTACTAAGCCCAGAAAGGCCCCACTTTTCTCCTGGGACTTCATTCTCGCTCCCTGATGGTTTTCAGTTGCCCCCATAGAAACACCAGTGTGCGTGAGGCAGTCCTCTTCGTCTGGTACCCCAGAAACTCCTGTTTAAACATCTACGTAGCAATGTCTTCAAAGATTTGTATATTTTAACCAGATTTTACTATTGCTTTTTATGGGTTGGACCAATAAAATCTACTCACTCATGGCAGAAACTGACATTGTTTTACTTCATGTATTTTCAAGCAAAAAATGCTTTAATATTTTTATGTACAAAACACTTACATCCATATTTTAAGAGCAATAGGACTGTTCTGAGGAGAAATCCTCCTAATTGACCATCTGGATTCATACTGAATCTTTAATGCATTCTTATGGGACCCTGGTTACATTTTCTGCATTTTTTCAAAAGATTTTATTGATTTATTTGACAGAGTGAGGGAACACAAGCAGGGGGAGGGGCAGAGTGAGAGGGAGAAGCAGGCTTCCCGCTGAGCAGGGAGCCCGATGCGGGGCTCGATCCCAGGACCCTGAGATCATGATCTGAGCCGAAGGCAGATGTTAACCGACTGAGCCCCCCAGGTGTCCCTTTCTGCATTTTTCCCATTGATCTTTTTGCTGGTATGTTTGTAGCAAACACCTCAGATGCAGACCCTTGGGCTCCACCTGCGTCTTACACTATCTGCCAAGAATGAGGCAGTACGGCTCTGTGCCTGGGCCTCGAGCTTCTCCCCGCCAAGCCCTGGGTTTCCGTGTCGATGTCCAAGTGTCATATGCCTCATGATCAAGACGCACATGCACAGCCAGATTCCCTGCATATAAGGATGGCCAGAGAGTATATGGCCCTCGGATCTGCACAGTTGTTTCCCTGGTTTGTCCGACTGAGGGTGCTGGCCACTCTGTTGAGTGTGGTCAGGGTGGGGGTTGCGCAGGTGACTGTCAGAACACAGACACGTGTTACCAGATCTCATCTGCGCACGTGCACGTGTCAGGGTTTGCATGTGTTGAGGGTGTTGTGTCCACTGCGGGATCAGTGTGCGTGATGACGGTCTTAGAGGGCACACGAGGCAGAAAGCACCAGCGCAGCAGTTCAGTGAGGACTCACAGAGCACGCCCATGGGGGCGCCTGCGAAAAGTGAGACCAGCATTGTGGGGTCAGGCCTGGGGGACCTGCAGGGGCTCTGGAGAAGGGAAGACTGGGGGCAGAGTTACTGAAATGTGTAGTGGAAATCCTGTAAGGTTGGGGCTACGATCTGCAAAGTTTGTGATTTGGGGGTCTTGTAGGTTCGGTGATCATGGGGACAGCAGTTTGAATGCCTCCAAAGCGTCAGCAATGGATGCCCTATGGGCCAGTCACCCAACCTGTGAGGGACAAACACAGACACCCTTGTGTGGTCTGATATGGGGGGACACGTCACCTTGGTGGGCACCCCCCTCCCCTGGGAGAGTGCCTTGCCCTCTGCAGTCACCGGGCCAGGCTGAGGCCCCACCGTTCCTCATTCACTGCCCGTAGAGCACACCAGGCAAAATCCCTGCACCAATCACATCCAACAAGTAGGGGGCCTGGGCGGCCTACTCTTGGTCTGGGCTTGGGTCACAATCTCAGGGTTGTGGAATCGAGCCCTGCGTCAGCCTCCACGTTCTGCGTGTGCCGCTCCCTGCCCCACCCCTGCTCATGCACTCCCTCTAAATAATTTACAAGACCCATCTTCACTGCCAGCCTGAGAGACCTGACAACTCCTCGCTGAGGACACGAGTGTTAGAAAATCGTCATTTAGAAAGTGCATGAGAGGGAGCGCCTGGGTGGCTCAGTCAGTGAAGCGTCTGCCTTCAACTCAAGTCATGATCTCGGGGTCCTGCGATCGAGTCCCACGTCCGGCTCCCTGCTTAGCGGGAAGTCTGCTTCTCCCTCTGTCTCTTCCTGCGGCTCCCCCCGCTCGTGCTCTCTCTCAAATAAATATAATCTTAAAAAAAAAAAAGGGCATGAGAAAACTTTCACTTCCATCATAGGTCGTATACAAAGACTGTTTCCTGAGTATAATCGGCCACAATAGGACCAGTCGACTGCTCGCCCCACCCCCGTACCCTTACTGCCACTTGGAACGGACGGCTCGCTCTACCTCTGACATACCGGCAGGAGCTACACTCGGCAATAACACTACAACAGAACAAGAAATTGGGAAAGACTATGTACATGAAGTGACTGTGTATGCAGAAAATCCAACTAAAAAAAAAAGTGCTGAGAAAGTTATTACACTTATCAAGTTCAGAGAATTCAAGGTCATATAAGTCAATTATACTTATCTGTTAGCGATGAATAATTGTAAGTTAAAACATGAGATTTACAAAGGCATAAAAATATAAAACCTGGGGATGACTGTGATGCAAGTTGCATGAGCTCCTACAGTGACAGGCCACGTTGCTCTCTCCCAGGTACAAGGACCTACAACCCCAGCTCCGAAACGGGAGAGCATGGGTCTTGTTGCTGTGGGCTTGACTTTACTGTAGTGGACCCCCATGTACTTGCTAGCCACTTCACATACAAACCAGCAGCCTCTCCCCTTCGTCTGAGGGCTTCATCTGCCCCCTGCTCACGTTGCCCCATGCCCCACTCCCCTCCACCCAAGGAGGTCCATCTGGTTACTTTGCCCTCTTTTCTTAGAATGCTGTTCGCTGTCTCCTGGGAATGCATTTTGCCGAGTTGATTCCTTTCTTTGCCTGCCTTGGCTCCCCACCTCTCCGGGCCTCATGTCCTCTGAACTGGTTTTGCTGGGAGCCAACCCCATCCCCCCACCCCAACAGGAGCATCTGCTCTCTCCAGCGCTGGAGCCTCCCATCGCCCCTCTGCCTCCCCACCTGCCCTGCCCTTGCCAGGTCGCTGCTCCGCTTCACCCCAGTCACCTGCAGCTCCTGTCCAGGGGTCCTCTCCCTCCAAGCCCTGACCCCAACCGGGGTGGGGTATCCAAGCCAAGAACCCCTAGAAGGGATTAGGGGCAATTCTTTCACCTCAAAGTTTTGGTGCTCTGAGACCTTCTGAGGCACAGAGGGACACACTCTTCTGGGGCTGCAAACGGGGTCCTGAAACTGGTCACTTCCTACCAAAGTTGGCCCTCCCGGGTCTTGCTCTGTAGTACCTGGTGGCAAACATCTGCCAAACTGAGAAGAGCTGCCACAAGAGACCAACGAGAAAAGTTTATTTGGGTTTGAAGAATTGTGCTTTGGGGAGCACAGATTCCAGCAGTAACCAGAAGTGTCCCACGTACGGGGTGAAAGCAAGGGGTTTTTATGAGAAACAGACGGGCAACTACACGGCTGGGGTAAAAGAGAAAACGGTTGTCCTGCGGTACCGACATACGGTCAATCCTGGAGCGTTCTCGTGTGCACTTGAGGATGCACTGTGGTTTGTGGATGGAGTGCTCAGGATCCATCTGATCTAATGTGTCACTGAAGGCTCATGTTTTCTTATGGATTTTGTCTGGTTTAGCCATTGATGAAAATGTGTATTCAAGTTCCCCTCCTATCATTGTATTACTGTTTCTCCCTTTACAGGTGTTTGTTTTATATACGTAGGTGTTCATTTTTTAAAAGATTTTGAGAGTCAAAGAGATAGATCATGAGCAGGGGGAGAGGGGCAGAGGGAGAGGGAAAAGCAGACTCCCTTCTGAGCAGGGAGCCCAACGTGGAACTCGATCCCAGGACCCTGAGATCATGACCTGAGCCAAAGGCAGATGCTTAACCGACTGAGCCACCCAGGTGCCCCTATATGTAGGTGTTCCTATGTTGGATGCAAAAATATTTACAGAGGTTCTACTATCCTGCTGTTGAACTGACCCCCCTTATTGTCAGGTGATACCCTTCACTGTCTCAATGCCATTCTAAAATAAAAATTTATGCAGAATTCGGTCACAAACTATGTATTAATCTTTAATTCATCATTATAATCTACATACATGGTTAACAATATGTAGTAATGACACATCATCTTGTGTTGTTTTTCAGTTAATATTCAACGTTACTTTCTAGTTGAACCCAATCATAATTATTGCTGTATGAAAAATAGGACCTAACCAATATAATGGATATTTTAGCAACAACTTTGCTTCATATGCAGTTCTACATACTAGTCCATTAAGAAAAAAAATCATTGTCATAAAATTCTGCATTCAGAATTCCCAGATGATGTCACAATCCTACATATGTTTCTTACATTTTTATAATAGGCCATCAGGCAAAAATATAAATTAATGTCTAAACTGTGGGGTTAGACATTCTCGATAGATGTTTTTCCTAGTCAGGGATTTCTAATGCAAACTCTAACCTTTCATCTGATTTTAGCAATGGCATATATACAGTGTGAGAAATTGCATGTTGACTAAGGAATTAAAAATCACTGAAGACTTCCATTCATTCACTATTCTACAGTGTGAAACTTCACATGCCTACAATAGTTTTTCTACTAGTAAATGTTTTTTCCATGCATATTACAATGAATAAGCTCCCCAGCATCAATTTTTGTTATTCTCCTAGAGTGACCTCCTTTTGTAAGATTCTCCTGTGTAATTCCCCATTCCAGGGAGATTACATTATCATTCATACTGAATTTTCTTGTGCACCCTACAACCGGAGATCAGCTAATGTCTCTTCCTCCTTGATGATAAATATTGCGTTCCTCCAAATGGAGTTCACTCATGTTGTGTAAGGATAAACTTAAAATGAAGGCATTTCCATAATGAATATGGCCATAAATTTCCCCCACTTATGAATTCTCGGATTATAGATTAGAGCTGTGGCTGAAGGCTCTTCCATGTTCTTTCACTACATTTAAAGTAAGTTCTCTCACGTCTTCAAAGGCAAGAGCTCGTAACAAAGGCTTTTCCACATAGAGGACATTTATACGGGTTTTCTCCAGTATGAGTTCTCTCAAGTTCTTTAAGATTAGAGCTTTCAACAAAGGCTTTTCCACATAGAGGACATTTATATGGGTTCTCTCCAGTATGAGTTCTCTCATGTTCTCTAAGATTAGAGCTTGTAACAAAGGCTTTTCCACACAGAGGACATTTATATGGTTTCTCTCCAGTGTGGGTTCTCTCGTGTTTTCTAAGACAAGAGCTTGTAACAAAGCCCTTTCCACATAAAGGACATTTATATGGTTTCTCTCCAGTGTGGGTTCTCTCATGTTCTCGAAGACAAGAGCTCGTAACAAAGGCTTTTCCACACAGATGACATTTGTATGGTTTCTCTCCAGTATGAGTTCTCTCGTGTTCTCTAAGATTAGAGCTTGTAACAAAGGCTTTTTCACATAGAGGACATTTATATGGTTTCTCTCCAGTGTGAGTTCTCTCGTGTTCTCTAAGATTAGAGCTTGTAACAAAGGCTTTTCCACATAGAAGACATTTATAT